CAGTTTCCGCAATAGGGTCTGCACGCAAGGGAAGGCGCAAGGGAAAGCAGGGCTTTCTCACCGTGGACCGACCCGTGACGAGATCCTACGCGCGGGACCATAACATTTAGTATCAGAGCCAAACATCACGGGCGATATGGAGCAGCTATCATTCAAGGTCAACGAACTGGAACATAGGCTAGCAGAAACCAGCATGGATGTTCGTGCAGTCAGGGAAGATGTCCGGGAGATGCGACGCCTGCTGGAAGCATTCCTCTCCAACAAAGAAATGAGTTCTGAGGGAATCGCCAACACCAACAGACGCCATCCGGACTGGGCAGAGGCATCCAGTGAACAGTAGATCGCTGCCCCTACAGCCGCAGTTATTTCCAAGGATCAGCGCACGGATGATGAAACTGTAAAGTCTCCTCCTTTGGCTGGGAACAATGTCACGAACATTATATTGGTACCTGCAAAATGCGCTCCTTGGTTGAAGACAAGTGGGCTTGGCGATGTTGTTGGGGCTTTATCGAAGGCTTTGGCTCAGCGTGGACATAGAGTTATGGTTGTGGCACCACGTCATCGTAACTATGCAGAAGCCCAAGAAACAGGAATGCACAAGAGATATAAGGTGGATGGGCAGGATATGGAGGTAACTTTCTTCCAAGGTTATATTGATGGCATGGATTTTGTGTTTATGGACAGCCCTATGTTTCGCAATATTGAGGAAAATATATATGGGGGAGGCCGAGAGGATATTTTAAAACGCATGGTTCTCTTCGGTAGGGCTGCTCTTGAGGTTCCCTTCTGTAAGTATACCCGGTGCGTTCCTATGATCCACAACATAGCACACCGGGGCCGTGGCCCAGTACACGATTTTTGTTATGTGGATCTTACACAAAACTACTTCAAACGATATGACCCAGGAGGTGGGGAACACTTCAATGTCCTTGCAGCTGGCCTGAGTGCAGCAGATCGTGTAGTCACTGTAAGCCATGGTTACGCCTRGGAGCTGGAAACTAAAGAAGGTGGCTGGGGTCTGCATCAAATAATCCAGCTTTATGCACTGAGCTACGAGGCAGTCCCTGTTGTTCATACTGTTGGTGGACTAAGAAATAGTGTGCAGCCGTTTGATCCATTCGCAGAGTTCCAAGCCACGTATCCGGAATTCGAGCTTGAGGACAAGCTCGTAGTCCGGGAGGGGTGTGATGTTATGGACACACCGCCCGGCAGCACACTGCGGCGCAGTCATAGGC